GCCCGCTGGAGCTGGCGGCCAGGCTCCCCCCGAGGCACCCTGGAGGAAGGGGTGATCCTGTCTGAAGCTTCCCTCACAGAATGGCTGGGTTGCCCGTGGGTGAGGTCTGGTGTCGAGCTTCAGCCGCCCAGCGCCCGCTGACCAGAGGCCCCAGCCATCGGTGCCCTCCTCGCCTTACCCCGGGAAGGGTTAGGTGTTTCCCAGGACCTCCAGCAGCATCCATGTTTTCTGAGATTATGCACTCTGCGATTATTTGTTGAATAGGTCAAGTCTGCGTGTGCAAACGGCTTTGGCAGGGCTCAGGATGGCCTCTCAGACTAGGCCTGGCCTGATCCTGCTTTTCATCTGTCTGCTAGCAAAGGAGGTGAAGCGCAGTGTAATCTTAGGGTTTTCTGTGGTTTGTTTGGTTGGGGTTTTTTTTAGCTTTTGAAAATACTTATAGGGCTGATAAGATGCTACTCCATGGCTATCTATAGCCTTCCTGTAATTACCATTTCCTTCTGACATGCACTGGCTGATGTCAGCCAGCTAAAAGTGGCGTAAAATGGATAGGCTGTAAGGGCACACACCAAGCTAGATGTATGCCAAGTACAGAACAGCTTGAGCCAGTTCTCAGAGGTAATCCAGTACCAAGTTTTTCCCCTCATTGTTCAGCTTTGGAGCTATATAAAGACCAGATGAGAATCAGGTATGTCTGTGAAGTGCGGATGAAAGGCAAGTTGATAATGGAAATGCAAAGCAGACGCATGCTTTCTCTCAAACTCCGTATTGCCAACTTTTACATTTTTATCACAAGTTTCATAATTGACATTCTTCTTAAAGCTCCTTGCATCAAGTGGTTGTGCAAGAATTTCAGCTTATATTTTCACTGTTGTGAAATAAAGCTTGAAAGTGTGACTGGAATATTTATTTCAGAGACAAAAGTAGAAAACAGACAAAAGGTCCCAAATGGATGCATTTTTTAAGAGATGAGGTGGGGCTAATTCATGATTATGAGTATTTGGGAATGACACAACCAGAGAGGGAAGCAAAGGAGGGAAATGAAGCCAACAAAATGACTGATTATGTAAGTATGTGCAAAAAGGGGAATTTTCACATGGAGAAAATCTCCTGTGCCCAGAGCTATAGAGTGCGTTTAAGGCCAGGAGGAGGCCAACTGGCAGAATTTTTGCTTATGCTGTAAAGCAAACCAAAAAGAAATGTGGACATGGGTAACAAAGAGTCTACCTATAACAGCAGGCACTCCAAATGCAAAACTAAAATAAAGAAAATCAAATATAGATGCCTATTTTGATGGTCCTGCATTTAAAAAACTAAAACAAACAAAACCAAAACAACTCTTTTGTTTCAAAATCAACCATGTCACTTATTATAGTTCTTGAAAGAAAGCCCACATAACTGATGGATGAATTATTCCCTAATATTTACAGGCCAAGAATCATATGACAACACTGTTCTTCTAGAGTATCTTACACAATATGTGAAAGGCCTTTCGGGCAGTAGGAGCTGCATGGAGTTAAGCAGAGTAACTGTTGGGTCTGCCATAGAACTTGAGCTGGTTAATATGATTAAAGGAAATTGGAAGCGTTCTTAGATGATGTGAGCTGGTGAGTAGCTATGCAGACAAATGGGTGTGAAGGAGGTTCATTCACTCGTGGCCTGTGCATAAGATCCACTCCAGAGTCCTTATTTGGGAAGGGACTGGAAGAGTTTGTATAAGTAAAGACTTCAAGGTCTGGTGTACAGTAGGAAAAACCTTTCTTGTTGAGGAATTGGTTAACAACAGAATTTCCCCTCAGACTGTGTTTTCACTGGAAAGGACTCTTCATGATATTTGTATGCCCAATATGTTTGCATTTTCTCACTGAAGTTTATGAATATGCTTTCTAGAAACTCCTAGCATAGAGGGGGACATCATCCCCAGTCCCCCATCCTGGGAACTTGGAAGCTTTTCTGATGTTAGTCCTTGAAACCAAGGCAAGATAAATTCTCTCAGAAGTTTCCCTATCTTCTCAATGAGAAGAAGGAAGTGGTAGCTTGACATATGAAGAGATTTGAGAAACAGGAAGGGATGAGGTGATTCATGATGACTATCAGGGTTTAGAGATAGAGAAACATGAGAAGAGCCACCATGTAGAGCTGGGGAAGATGGCACCAGCAGGAGCTGAAGGATTTGATAGGAGCAAGGAGCCAGAACAGAAGGGAGCGAGGAAGAGGGAATCTGGAAAGACAAGACAAAGTTATATAATCAGTGTATATCTGAAGTTAGTCTTCCCACAACTGAAGTCAGGATTCCTAAGTTTCTCTGTTGTCCAGCAAATTATTTGAAATCTACTATTTTCCAGTGGCTTGTCCATAAAAAAAGGACAAGATATTACTTCTGCCAGTTTCTTTGGTTCAAGTGGTAAAGGTTTCTTTGTGACTCTTAAAGATCCAACACTGCTGATGACCCTTAGGAACGTCATTATGATTCCATAGTGTAATTATCGGTGCTGTCTCAAAAAACCACACACAATTATACATAAAAATGACAATGAAACCACTTCTAGTTTAGGTAACAGTCTAATTCATTGTATCTTCTTTCATTTCTAAAATGTAATCCATGCTATGTACAAAATAACAGGGGAATGTTAAGGAAAATGGGCTACATATTACAAGATGAATGACACTTCAAAGAGAACTAATTAAGCTTGTATAAACAATGCTTTTTTTTTGCATTTTCTTATTTTTGAGAGCTTGATTTACATTCATGATACACATTAGGAATACATATATCTGTTCAGTTGCCAAAAATACATTTAAGAGAAAGCAGATGGTTTGCCTGCCTGTTTGTGTGTTTATATAGTACAGAGGAAATACTTCTAATCAGATAAATAAGGTTCACAGTAAATGGAGAAAGTGATGCAGTTTCTGAAATAATTAAGTTAGCAGTAAGACTTTTTAAATTACCAGAGGAAACATTAACCTTAAAATGAAACTCCAACTGCCTGCTTACTAAAATGTACCCGTCTTTCAAGGAACAACAGACAATTGCAGATTTGGGGCTGTACAGTCCTACATTTAAGGAACAAGCAAACGGTCTCACCTAAGAATTTGCAATGCCACGAAGAAAATCTAATCCACTGCTGCTCTTTCTTCTCAGGATACCCCTAAGTGTTTGCTACAGCTGCTGTCACCTGTGTAGCACCTAATACTTTGAAGTGGGATGGGGTTTCTTCTTCCTCTTCCCATGTTCCCATTGTTATCTGCTGCTTTTATTTCCTTGCTTCTAACTTTAATATCTATTTCCTTCACAACTGTAAAAAAATAATTCACAGATTTAGAGCTCGTTATGTAGAACTCTATTCCCTGAGCCATCAGGCTGGCTCTGCACATTAGAGGCCGTATCTACAGGCCCAGAGATCCAGGTTGAATTCCTAGAAGCACAACACATTCCTCAGAAACCACAAAGCTGACTCATTCAGAGTACTTCAAATAATAACTCAGGACAGTGTATCGTGCTGCCTCAACCCTGATACATAAAATTAAAAGCTTGATGCAAAGGCCATAAGCATCTAAAAAAACCCTTACACTTTCTTCAGCAGGCTTTGAATTAAAACAGAGGACCCGATGTATTCTTGATAACATCCACTAATTTTGCTAGATGGAGAAAGAACCTCTTAATTAAAAAAAAAACAAAACACCACAATAGAAATTCTTATCTCTGCCAAGTGAAATTAATGTTATAATCCATTTCTTACTTTTGCTTCCTTTTTGCTCGCACCATGAAACCAAATAATGAATTTCACTTTCTGTTTATGTTCAGTTTCCCTTTCTGAT